GTGGGGTCTGGGCTCTAACCAGGGAGACTGGCTCTACAGCCTGCGTGCGCTCCTAGCTGCTCAGCCCACCTCCACCCCGCACGGCTGTGGACTGCTCGCCTGGTGCTCATCTCTCAGGGGCCAGCCTAACTCTGATGTCCTCCACAAAGCCTTCCGTAAGCAGGTTACAGCCCCCTCTTCTGTCTTCATGGCATCCTGCACTTCTCCACAGCTCTTACCGCAGAGTTAACTACTGGGGCAACCACTCAGTGTCCGTTGCAAGCTCCCAGGAGCCGGGATTGCGTCCATCTCATCATTGCTGCCTTCCCAGAACCCAGCACAGTGGTGGAGGCATGAAAAATTATGAATCTGTTGCCTTTTTCCTACCATATGCAGTCACAACAAGGAAGTGAAATCAGGAAGCAGGTTCTTACCAGACACCAAATCTGCCAGTGTCTTCATTTGGACTCCCCAGCCTCGAGAAGTGTGAGATGTGAACATTTGTTGTTCAAAACAAACAAACAAAAAAACCAAACCTATATATGTGTATAGTGAGTCATCCAGTCCCCTTTGCCCACATAAACCCACAGGTCTCCCACGTGGCCTGGCTTCCTCTGCTGAAGGGAAATACCACCCCCCACACTGTCTTACAGGGGCTGGGGAAGCAAGTACCTACCAGGTTCAGAGAACCAGCTGTCTGTAACCAGAGCTAGTTTTTTCATTCTGGCCACAGAAGTGATCATTATCAACAGGAACCTGTGGTGAACATCGCTTTGCTTCCTTCTCTGGCGACAGCCACCTCAGAAATCCCAGCCAAGGGCTTGTTGGGTCTTGTACTTAGAGCTAAAGTTCACATGCTTCCCTGTTCCAAACTTGGGGAGCCAGGTACAGGAAACCCAGACTCTCCCGGGAAGCTGCATCAGTTGTTTGGCAGGTCACGGAGCGGGCAGAGTGCTAATGACCAGCGGCACACCCTGCACTGCTCACGCAGTCAGCTCCCAGCACTCGTCGGACGGCTGCTGGGAACAGGACCCCCTGACACCATGGGGAGGCTGCCTGTCTGTGCCCCAGGCCTCTTTCCCATGCCCCCCGCCACCAGCCCTTTCAGGACTTCACCTTTAGTCCCAGCCGTTTCTGTTGGCCCGCACAGGGCCGTGAGCTTCCGCAGGGCAGCCAGGCTGTGCTGCTCACTGCAGGCCCCCAGGCCAGCACGCCCTGCACTGGGTATGGGCCCGAATGAAATGTGTTCCGTGACTCACGGATTTTGGGTCAACATATTCCTCCTAATAAGCATTGCTACATCTGAGAGCTATTCTTGAAAGATGTTTTGTGGTTTAGTAAAGGGCATAATTAATATATTTAGAGTCTGATAAAGTGTGCTTCATAAGAAATGAATCAGAATGACTCGATGTTTTGTTTTTTTTCCTGAAGCTAGTCCCATCATGCATAATTCCAGTGAAATATGATCAATTTGGAGATTTAAAAATGTTCAGGCAAGGATTGTTCCTTATAAAGCACTAATAAAGATTTTATAAACATTACATTATGCCTGTTAGTCAGCATGGGGAATTCTGTGCTTCAGTAATAGATAAACCTCTAAATCCCTGCGGTTTTCACAGTGAAGGTTTACTTATCCCTCATGCCGTGGTCCATCTTGAACTATGCCAAGGGCGTTGGAGATGAAGCAAGGGCTGAGGCTGCGTGGGGTATTTTTCAAGGTCAGGCTCAGAACTGGCTTACATCATGTCTGCTCACGTCCCGTGGGCCAGAACCCAGTCCCGTGGTCCCAAGTTGCCAGAGGTGCTGGGCAGTACAGGAGCCCGTGGATATTGGGTGTGCACTGATGGTCTCTGTCACATTTATTACCCATCGGCATCATGATTCACTGCTACCCGGAGAGCGTGTTCCATGGACCAAGCACGTGACCGCACCTTACTAATCCTCACAAAAATCTGATGAGGTGGGTGTCATCAGCCTCATTTCACACACAGGCGATTGATGCTCAGTGGTGTGAAGAAATGAAGTTACATTTGTAGGCTGTGCAAGGTGAGTGTTCTAACAAGCTCTGCCTGGTCCCGAAGCCTGGCTGGACTTTGCCACCCAACGAGCCGGGCACCGCACAAGCCTTCCCGCCTCACTAATGCAGGTGTCTGCAGCCTCTCCGTGCCCACTGCCTTGACCTTGTGGCTGTGTGCCCTGGACAGCATACAATGGCATTTCTTTCAGCAGATTTGGTAAGACTTCCTCCTCGTGCCCCGAGTGCCCCGTGAGTGCCCACTAACCACTTCCAGAACCTCCAAAGGTGAAGAAAAGGCGGTCTTAAAATTATTTCCTAGTGAGACTCCAAATGCAGCCACAGTTTTGTAGGAACATCTCTTTTCCTAGGTTTTTTCCCCTCTCTGGAAACCGCCTTCCACAGACAAATGACTGGAACGCAGAACTACTCAAACCCTCCACGGCAGTCTCTCTGTTCCCTCTGTGAACTAGCTTTGGCCTCCCCCAATCTCGGTGCCTTGGACTTCCTGGAATGCTCCCAGGCATGTCCCCGGTGGTGGCAGCAAGGACTATCACTTAGTCCCCCACTTAGGTCCCCACTTCAGTCCCCTGATCACCCTCCTAGAACTCTCGGCTCCTGCAAGACCCTCTGTGACACCTGCAGCCCAAAAGGCTAACCGCCACATGCACAAGCCTCCTCCTGTCAAACACTGCAAGTCTTTGCAAACTTTACTGGTCACCGGGGCCTTGTTAATGCCCATGACCCACACAACTGTCACCTATCACAGGAAATAAAAATTTTCCTTCAGGAATTTGCGATGCACTTGTAATGCACATGCAGGGTGTTGGGACTGGATGTTAGTGGCTTGGTTATTTACCTTTTATTAAGGCATTGCACTTCACAAGGAACAAGCTGTGATTTGATTCACAGTAACCCTGTGGCCAGCGGGTCTGACCTTGGCCACACCTTCGAATCTGTGTCAAGGAGGGGTTCTGAGTCCCGATGCCCAGCCCAGAGCAGCTACTCCAAACGTCTGGAGTGGGGCCCAGGTGTTGGGTTTAACTCCCCAGTGATTCTAAAGCGCAGCCAATTTGAGAACCGCCTGCAGGAGGTGGACGTTTTGCCAGATATCAGCAGGGGGGTGGAGAAGTGAGGGGAAAAAACAAGATCTTCAGGAATTATTTGTTAGTCTGGCTCTAGGCCCCAACTTCCTGAGGAATTCAAATGAGCTGAAGTCACCTTTAATTTTTTTTTCCCATGACACATTCAGCCAACGTAAATGTCACTTAATTATTGAAAAATGTATCCAATGCCGAGCGGTTTAAGGCTGGCCGCCCAGAGGACGCAGCCAGGGATCACAGGCTTCTGAGTTGTGAAAGACGAGCGTCGTTTTCGTCCCAGCCTGCTGCTAACTAGCATGTTTTTATAAAAAGCTGTGATCCTCCTCTAAGATATGGGCTAAGAGGTAACATTTTTATTAAATCAAGATGCCATATAGATGTTCCTGAGTATAATTATGTAAAAATGTCATTTGAGAATAGCTCTCTTTGAACTGAGCCTTCCACCTTTCTAGGTGGGCGGTGGGGGTTGGGTGGGAGCCATCTGCGCCAGCATCTAGAGGGCAATGACTCTGCAATGTGGCTGTACAAGGGTCTTCAGTTCTGCCCTATAAAAACGTATTACAAATGTGTTCTATTTTAGCAAACTTGCAAACAGGGAAAAGACTTGCCTCATTAAATAATTTACTTAAAAGCTTGCACAGGGCTATTACTTGTTTTCAAAAGGTATTTGTCACCATTACCCCAGGCAGCGGGAGGTGGCTGTGCCCTGGCTTACCTGGTGGCACCTGAATCCAAGTCTGCCTCCTTCCTCCAAGTGACAAGAAAGCACAGTGTGTTCAGCTGGCTCTCTTGTTGCTCCCAAGCACTTCATTTTGTCTAAGATCATCATGCGCCAGGAGTAAGTAACTTAGGAAAAGTAAATGAGGGATGTGGGATTGAATCCTTTGGACATCAGGCCAGGGCTTTCTCGTTGTGTGACACAATAAACACTCAATGCTCACAATGCTCTAACTCATAGATGATTTATTGCTTTAAGTAACTAAACAAGAAAGAGACAGGCTGTTGTTTTGGTCAAGACACCAGTTGTATCTACTTAAAGCCTTAACGATACTTTCTGGACAATATAAACACGTGATAGCATACATGGGAATCAACTTGGCCAATAATACACTGATTAAAATAGCACATGACAAGGGCACCCAACCAACTGGGGTGGCCTGAAATGACAGAAAGAATGTGAGTTCACATGGTGTGCTGAATACAAAACGTTTTAAAAAATTTTTTGGCATTAATACTAACACAGAATACTTTCTTGAACGTTCTGCAAGAGCAGGTACACAAAGAGAATTACCTTTCATTTCCAGATTACCAGCATCTATGGGAATACTTTGAGAAAAGCCAGGAGGTGGGGCACCTCCCCTCCTCAAATGTCCTTTTTTTGCCAAAGCAGCAGGGTCCGGGGGTTTAGGTGAAGAGCAGCTGACAGGGCTCCAGGGGTGGCTTCAATCACCAAGGAGCTGCAGAGAACAGTGAGGACAGACACTGCCCCGGCAGAGTGTGGGAATGGAAAACACACAGCCTTGGTTTGTGGCCAGGGAGGCCCGTGGACTTGACCCGGTGCTCCCTGGAGGCCCTAGGGGGCGGACGCAGGCACTGAACGGGTCCAGACCCTCCCACTGAGGAGTGGCGGAGCCAGGGCTGGGCCTTCAGCCCTGAGGTTTAGAAGAAATAACCTGACCTCTTGCATTCTAACGCTGGGGCATTACGACACATTTCAAATGGATGTGCAGAAACCAACACTGTCAGGGAGCTGGCCCTTGGAGGGCCTCCGCGAGCTCACAAGGAGAGGTCAAGCCAAGACAAAGGGTAATGCAGGACACCAGGGCAAACCAGCCCCGGCCTGGCTGCTGGCACAGTGCCTCTGGTTGGCCAATGTATCTGGCTTCAGCGCCAACTGCTGAGACTCAGTTGTCTTCTGCTGTCTCTGCAGCCACTTCCTCCGCACCTCCCTCCCTGGCATCCTCAGCAGGACCCGAGTGCCCCTCACAGCCCCCAGCCAGGGCCCCGCAGTGGCCGCCAGGACCATTCTGCACGGCCCCGCCCTCCACAGAGAGCTGGCCATCAGGACACAGCTGTTCTCCCACGACCTCTTGGACGGGGACCTTCATCTCCTCGGAGGCTCCGTCGTCCCGCTGCCGGCTCAGCACACAGTTGCCCACGTCTCCAGCCTTGGAAAACTGGTCTTCTAAATTCTTGTCGTTTTCTTCTGCTTGTCGCTTGTCTCTGGCACTGAGTTTACCTTTGGATTTCCTCATCTGCCTGCTGTGCATGTCTTCTCGGGAGAATCGCCACTGAAACTAAAAATCAGAGAGGGTGGGGATAAATAAATGCCGTCTCTGTGAACCTAGAGCTTCACCTGAACGTCTCACCCATGTCCCTTCTCTGGAGCAACACACACAATTCCCAGAACCGCTGAGGCGGAGCAAACTTCAGTTGTAGCCCAAACACATCACACCCACCACGAGAATCTGCTTGATGCCACCTATGGTGTGGTCCATGGTACAGGTATATCTTAGACGTGGATTTCAGGCGTTGTGGGGGCCAAGGGGCACTTCTTCCAACTGGCCCCAAACTAAAGGCCTGGACAAAGAGGTCCTGAAAGCCTATCATTTGGACAGCCAGCACAGGGAGGGGACTTGGGGCCTGCCCCTCCTAAGTACCAGGGCTCTGAGCAGGCTGTGGATTATGAAGCACTGGACAGGCATTCCGTCACCTAAGTTAGAAGGGCACAGAGTGTGGGGTGCCGGGGTCCCCCTGTAGGATCAGCAGGCTTTCTGCCCGAGCTGTGGGGTCTGCTGTCTGCTGACAGCCCCTACCACCTCCTGGGGCAACCTACAGCCAAGGACTGGTCCCGGTGAGGCACAGCAGCCTGTCCCTCCTTGTCCCAACTACGGACAACTCTGAAAGGCCATCCCAGCTCCAGAGCCACCTGGGGCGTTGGCTGAGGCCATCACAGCTCAACTAACTCCCTGGCCGTCTCCTGTGCCCTGCTTTCCCCACAGGTGGTGTTTCTAAGAGCACCTGCCCCTGCCCCCCACCCTTACAAAAACTTCTACCATCCAAATCTATCGACTTCCACCTTCCAAACCTATCTCAGACCCTGCTTCCCAGGGAGCCCGACCTGCAACCAAGCGTTTCCCCACATGGCAAGGACGTCAAGTGAGGCTCAGAGAAGAGCCAGGGCGTGCGGTTGGTAACAGAGCTATGCAAGAGTGGACTATCAAAGCTGTGGAGCGAAGAGTCCCGACTCTGCCATGCACCCGCCTGATTTCTCACCCTCAGTGTTCTCATCTATACAATGGGGACAGTAACTCCAACTAGAACCAAGGTTGGTGACTTCATTTTCTGTGAAAGCAAGGTCAGTTAAGTTTTTATATAATAGCCAGATAATATTTTATATTGGCTTTGAGGGCCTCGTGGTCTCCGCGGCAATCATTGAACTCTACCATTGTTGCAGAAAAGCAGGCACAGATAATATGTAAACAAATAAGCGTGACTGTGTTCCAATAACACTTCATCTACAGAAACAGGTGGTGGGCTGGATTTGGCCTGTGAGCTGTGGTTTGTCAAGGCGAGCCTTACAGGGTAGTTATGCGGTTTCAATGATGCGGTAATTCGTGTCATGGGTTTAGCACTGTGCCTGGCACATAATACAGCAGATATGCTGCCGTTACCATTATTGACTTCAGATGTAAGCTCCATTAGGCTGGGGAAGCCATCTGGCCTATTTCCTCCTTGATCCCTGGGGCACAGCGCAGAGCAGGCATTCAGAGCCTGTCTGCGGGATACATGAATGGGAGGACGGCAGCGCCCAGCCACGCCGGCTACGCTGTGTTCCAGGGTGAACCAGGCCTATTTTCAAGTCAAAGCAGAGCTTAGGGTTTAATGAGGAGAGGCTGGGGCATCTGCACATTATTTCTGGTTGATCTCCAAGAAGAGAAATTAATTTAAGGAAGAAAAAGAGTGGAAAACATTCAAAGACCTGCTGAGTCTGTTGAATACACGAACTGTCCCACAGGAAGACAGTTTAGAAGCCTGTGTGCTTGGAATAAATCTGGGCAAATGAGCTTGTGGAAACTTCGAAGGATGTTAGAAAATATACCTTGGAAGATTCAGAGAAATGGGTCCTTGTCTTTCAAAATGAGGAATGCGTTCTGTGGGTTAACGACTCCACAAGAACTGCACCCTTTTCCCTCCACTCCCTAAACATCAGGGCCCGCCTCCCCAGTCTCCCTGAGAAAAAGTCCCTCTGACCGCTGTCATTCTGGGGGGATCAGTATCCCTGGGATGGCCACCACCTCAGAGCATGGGGGTGGGGGACAGCCCACTCTGGGTGGGAACCCAGGGACTCCGATGTCAGAGACTATGCAGTGTACACGTGGGAAGACGGCAGCCATGGGATCTTCAGGACGTGCAAGGCACGAAGTCGTGAAGGCAAAGAGAAACCCCAGGGGAGAGATGGCTGGGTAGATGGGGGCCAGAGTCAGGACTCCCACTGCAAGGAGTGGTCTCACCTGGAAGGAGAGAATCATGGGACTAGATTCTGAGCATGTGACTTGGCCCCCAGCAGGTGCAGCTCAGTGACTCACGGTACACACAGGAGTTTAGTTCAAGTTCCCGCCACGGTCATTTCTTTCTACTTGAGTCACACCATGTTGGTTTTGCCAAATATGGACTTAAGTCTTAGACATTCTATGACTGAAAGAAAAGTAAAGGGAGCCTTGGGTTCTGACGGCTTCTTGCTGGGCTGGAGAGGGGAGCCCAGGAATGCAACTGCACCATCGGTGGAAAATGATTTTTTCAGGCTGTAGCACATTGTAAATAATTGAGTGCACTGCTAATAAGAAAACCCAAAAAATGTGCTATGTAAATTTTTGAAAATCTGCCACCTTTGCAGAATTTTCAGTGGCAGAAATCTATTTCCCCAAATAAAACATTTGCCTAAACACTCACCGGGTTCCGAGACTGAGCGCACCATAGGATTCTTAGACTGAGCACCTTTGGACAAGACTGGGAAATCTGAATATCCCATCAAAGATAAAGAGGAGCAAAGTGCATGTTGAGACTACGATTTCACATTTACCTTGTCCTCTTCCACCCTCCCCTCCCCCACAAATCCCCGAAGGAATTCCCCTACAATGTTGGAAAGGCTTTGCCCAGACAGTCCTTTTTTGGGATTCTCTCTCTCATGCTAGAGCTGACAGACTTCCCTTTGGGGAGGGTTTGAACTTCTCCCCCCTAAGCCACGAGTTTCCAACAACGGAACTCCTCTACAGGCAAAGTGGTGCCTCAGACCCCCACCCCAGTGGTGCCCACCTCAGCCGAGACTGAAGCAGGCACCTCAGCTCCGTAGCCACGAGTGCAGGATGCTGACTTGGGACTTCAGAGCCCCTGCGGCCGCCTCTGACGCCAAAGCTCTGTGGCTCTCGGGCACAAGCAATCATGGTTCATAACTGCTGCCTTGTCATATGCAGCAACTGCCACTGCATTATAATTTCAGCCCAAATGGAAGAGCCGTAAAGAAAAATCCATGTCCCCCAAGTACAGCTTTTGCATTTTTGCATGTTTTTAGAAAAACACCAGTTAAGCTTGCTTTTATGTATAATACTGTGAGAGGCAGGGGGCTTTCAGGGAAGTTGGAGGAAGTTTTACTTTTGCTAAAAAATAGCAGTGAGATTGCTCTGCTGAAAGGTCCTAAGTGCTAAAACATCCAAGCACTATAGTACAGCAGCTGATACCCCGGTTCAAATCCCGGTTCTGGCACTTGTTAGCTTTCTGTCCTTGGGCAAGTTGTTAATCTCTCCAAGTCGCAAGTTCCTCCTCTCGGAAATAGTTGCCTGTGCAGTGCACACCCCAGGAGCCCATCCACACGAGTGGACGAGAGCAGCCCTCCCTGCCGTTGCATGGTATACAACCAAGCAGCTTCCACCTGTGCCAGATTCTCTCCTCGACACCTGTTATTCACGAATGCAAACAGACATCGTCTCAGGGGCTGCTCTTGCTAAATAAACAACAGAAGGTCTGTGGTTCCTCTGGACGCCTGGCCATAACCAGTTTACAGAAAAAGAACACGTTTTGTTGATCTCCTGATATAATACAACAGAAGGACACAGGCCGCGGAAAGGGCCACTTTCTTCAGGAACCCGCACGGCCTGCTGGGCAGAGGATTCGGGGATGTCAGAGCTGAGCTGGATGGGCACTGTTAACAGCCAATGTTTAATGTCCTTCAGAGTCATCACAGAACAATCTGCCACGCCAAATGCCCTCTAGGATTGCACTGTGTTCTGTGTCCTCAGACGGGTTTGTGGTGCCATCGCCGACCCCGCACGCTGGCTGGGCCCCCTGACCCCCAAGCAGCTGTCCCCTGGGCTGCAGCCAGGCACCAGGAGGCTCTGACCTGAGTCTTCCCCTTTCTTCCTTCTCTCCTGTGCAGGGACATTCTCATGAAGCAGGGAAGTGGCAGTGGCCAAAACTCAGGGTCTGTATAACATAAAAGCTAAGTGTTCCAAGTTGCAAAGGCCTGTAGACTACCTGTAGAACACCTGCCTAGGGAAAACAAACACAACCAAGGTGCCTACTATGTGTCTCGCACAGTGACAAGGTTTCCCATTTCCCTGAATCCCCAAAGCAATACTCTGGATAGGCAAGTGAGAGCCATTTTACAGAGGTGTATGTAGGGTCAGAGTAACTTGCCTAAAGGCACACAGCTAGGAAACAACAGAGCTGGAATCCAAACACAGCTGCCTGTGGCTCCACACTACCCTTCCAGCCTCTCGTTCTCGGTGGGTGAAAGGCTTCAGGCCCTTGCCCTAGAGAGAACAGAGGAGAGGGGGCAAAGGGAGAGGCAACGCACCTTTGGATGGCTCAGCCCAACGCATCACTGCCTCAGCTTTCAGACTTGACCACGTCCAGGTGCATCTGCTAGGCCAGGCCCTGGATTCATTAGGCCCAGTGGTCAGCTAATGGAAGTCCAGATTTAACTGCCATTAAAGATTCTTTGGTTCGGTTTATTAAAAACAGGTATATACACCGAAGGCTCCCTGATGGGCCCCTTAAAAAAAAAAAAATCAATAATGATAAAACTTGGATCGAGGTCCATGGGTGAGCCTGGGAAGGGCCCTAAACGACTCAATTAAGACACTGGCTCTTAGGCCGCAGCGGGCATCAGGGTGAGCTGGAGGGTTCCTTCAACCAAATCACTCCCCACATCGGACTCAGGGGGCGGGGTGGGGCGGGGAGGAGGGAGGCTGCATTTCTAACAAGCTCCCAGCCGAGGCTGATGCTGCTGGTCCAGGGACCACAGTCTAAGAACCACCACGCTCAGAAAAGCACCTGGGCCGTTTCGCCGTGTGAGAAACAGCTGGGAAACACGCACACCATTCCCCAGGCCTCCCCCAGCCCCCGCCAGCCCCCAGCCTTGGCATCGTCCGTGGAAAGGGCTTCCTCTGTCTCCCTCCCTTCCATCTCCACACCTCTCCCCTCACCACCCCGGTTCTCTTCCTCATTTACGCTGGGACGGTCCCAGTCTCTAACAAAGAATGAAGATTGCTCCAGATCCCAAAGCTCAGAAAGATGACATCTCAGAAAGCAAGAAGAGGAGAGGCAGGGATGTGGCAGCCCCTGGGACAGTGACAGGCTCCCCGAGGCGGCCAGTGACATCCACACTTAAAGGCAGGCGGTCCAGCCCGGAGGACGTGTCCCCTCTCTTAAGCAGTACCAGAGACAGTCTCTGAACGCCACAAGCAGGCTGCTGGTCAGGCCGGCGGCGTGGTGCCGATGCCGGCCTTCCCGAGTGTGCGGCCGGTGCCTACGCCAAGAAAGAGTCCAGCCAGCTGTCCGTGTCAGAAATAACTGCGGGAAAGGAAAAAATCCTTCACTTCTCAGCGGTGTGTGTCCAGAGTTCTGTGTCAGCAGGGGCTAATGGATTTAATTCACACATTTTAAAAACTGTCTGTTATCTGCTCCACTTCAACTAGGTTAGCCTGAAGGAAGACTACTCTGGTGTCGCAGAAACCACCTATCACCTTCGAAGCAGCTTTATATTTGCCTTGAAGGCCACATTCACACACCAAGAGGTTTCTTTCAAATGCTGAAAAGTCCTGATTAGAGAATTCTGTCCACACTGCAGATTTAAAGAGGGCTAAATACGCTCTGTTCTTGGTGTGTCAATGTTGGGATTTCTTTTCTTAAATTTTAATGGTAGACATGATAGGTATGTCCCAGGCTCAGAATTTTGATTATTCATTCACTGATTCAACAAATATTTGTTGAGCACCAACTAAAAGCTGGGTCCTGGGCACACAAAAGTCAGACAAAAAGGTCTGTGCTCTCATGGACTGAACCCACGAGGACAGGATAAACTAAGGAGCACAAATATGTAGAGGAGAGCTGTGAAAGAGAGGAGCGTGGCTCTTCCCAGGGCATCACATAGTCCCGAGAAAATACCATGGAAGAGAATGGCGTAGGCAGACAGAACAGCCAAGGCAAAGGCCCTGAGACAGGAGAACCACAGAAGATGCCAACAGAGCTGGGAAGCAAGGATGTGGGGGCTGATCACACTGGGCCTTGGGGACCACATTCCAGATTTCCATCTACATCTTTTTTTAATTGATTTGAGAGAGAGAGGAAGGAAGGGAGAGAGAAACGTTGATTTATTGTTCCACTCATTATGCATTCATTGGTTGATTCCTGTATGTGCCCTGATTGGGGATCCAACCTGCAACCCTGGAGTATTAGGATGATGTTCCAACCAACTGAGCTACGCAGCCAGGGCTCCACCTTTATCTTAATAGGAAGCTTTAGAACCATTTTAAGCCGTGGGTGAAATGATTCAACTGGCCTTTTCAAAAGATCTCTTTGGCTCTGAGCAGAGAACACGTTTGAAGGGAGACCTGTTATTAGGAGACAGAAGTAGTTGAGGCAAATGAGAGTGAAGAGGGGTGGAGGTCCAGAGAGTCTAGGACCTCAAATAGACAAGTCTCAAGGATTGACTGAGCCGGGGGAAGGAGACAGGGGAGAGTCAAGGGTGAACCGTAGGTGGGCGGGTGCCTCTGGGTTGCTGGTGGTCCATTTCTCTAGGTAAGGGGGTGGGGTCGACTGGGTGTGGGGGAGGGGCAAAGCTACCAGTTGCCCCGCCATCGTTGAGCAGTGACGGGGCAGGTGCACTGGGCCTCAGGGGAGAAGAGCTGAAAATGCAGATACAAAAGTCAAGGTCCAGAGGTGGTAAGTGAGATTTTCTCACTCTGGGGATGAGAGAGACTTTTTAAGGAAATGGTAAGAGACTGAGAGGAGAGACAGGGCTGTGTCTGAACCCTGAGGAACCTGGTGGAAAACCAGGAGAGTGTGGTGGGAATGGAGCCAAGAGAAAAAGGTGCTTCAAGAGGAAGAGGCAGCCCACAGTGTCGGTGCTGCAGGAGCTCAGGTACCGTCAGGACTAGGTGGGGGTACTGCCACCGTCACAGGGGTACGCAGGCATCGTGGGAGCAGAACGTCCACCTGAGCCCACTGAGGAGCGAATGACAGGGGCAAAGAGAGAGAGACAAGATGTCTGCTGTAAAGTCCCCTCCCTGGGACTCCACTAGGGGGGTGATCTCTCTAGATCACACCGAGAACAAGTGCTTGGCACCAGCCAGTCCTTGGGCATAAGCACTTTAAAGGGGAAAGCAGCCAACCCGTATTTGTGTAGTTACCCAGTATTGGAAGTTTCCACTGACCAGAAAAATAAATGACTCCCATGCTCTTTGGATTTTCCCTAAGGAAAGTCATTCTGCCTTCTTACACCAGCTTTAAAACTACCTCAAAAACCTCCCCGCCCACTCCCATTCCCACTGGCCGTCCTGTTCTGAGATGCATGGCCTGCAACATCGAGCCACATGTCTTTGCTTTCGAATCTGTCAGCACCACAACCTGGAAAACGGCCAAGAAAAGGCAGCGCTCCCCCACCCCTTCTTTAAAGCAGAAGGTTTATTTTGGTGTCTGAGGGAGACCTTGCCTGCATTGTTGTTGAATGTCACTCTGTGAATGCGCACAGTCCCCCAGAGCCTACGGCTAAGTTGCAACTGACAGCAGACCTGGCTGATCCATCTTCCGCCTGGTGCTGACTGCTCCTGGTGGTTAATGGTATATTTGGCGGTTGCCTTCTGGATCTCTGCTGCTATCACCTGTCACATTAGTGCATCAGAGCTAGAAGAGAGACTGTCCTCTGCACTCTACCCCATCTGGCTCTAAGGCACCATTTCCTTGGCGTTCACCCCACAAACGGGTTCCCCCTGGATCTCTTGGCTGGTAAGGGGCTGCTCCAAACTGTTCACTTGCTTGGTGCCCCTGTCCAGGCTCTGTGTGCACAGAACATGAGGGACCAGGACCAGGGAGCACCGGGAGAGCGCCAAGTGTGAGGAGAGAGCAGGCCTGGCAGGCTCTGCGGGACAGCATGGTCCGGGCCATCAAAGGTAGAGTGAGCTGGCTCCCAGTGACACCTCTGACTCGCCTGCCTCTTCCTGAGCAGCTGGTGAAACACCCGTGGGAAAAGCACCTGCCAGCGACAATGCACGAGGTGTGAAACATCAGAATCATCGGACACAAGGGAAGGACCTGGGATCGACGTCATCAAACATGAGAAATATTCTGGGAACGGCCACCGCCTCTCAGTACAACTGAGTTTCCTGGATGGTTCCTGTAAAGACCAGTGAGGGGAAAAGGATCCTGGCGACCCGCAGGGTGGCCTGACCTGAGGACTCACTGCTGCAGGCCGAGGCTGACCTTGTCTAGACCAGCCGCTGTCATTCAGAGGCTTTCGGGTCAGGGCCTGTCAAAAAGGAGCTCTAGCAGGGTCTGTTTGCCAAGATCACCAGACTTGTGATGTCCTGAGGGATGCCACAGGCAGGCCAGAGCTCCAGCCCGCTGGTAATGAGATGCAGACACAGATACAGGGCCTGAGCGCCAGCCCTCCCCCACCCGCATCCGTCAGACTGCAGCTGACTTTGTGCCCCTGTTTCTAGCCCAGTGGGAGTATCTGGCAGGCTTGCATCTCCAGAAGAACCTCTCTCCTCCTCTCCTCTGGCCTGGCCAGCAGCAGGACACTGGCAGACAAGGCCCTCCAGTGCCCTCATCTGTCCCATTCTGGCAGCTTCAGGCCTGGTGCAGTTTCTGCCAAGGGGCTCAGGTGTCCTTGGGCTCAGAGCCATTGGAAGCTGGAGCAGGCTGCCCACTCAAGTGCTGCAGACAAACCCACCTGAAGGGGAAGCCCTGCCAAAGCAACCCGAGGAAGGCAATCAAGGTCACTTACCCTTGATTCCTTCTTCTTGGTTTTCTGAGGTAGACATGGTCTCTGAAGGAAGACAATCTGCTTGGTGGATATGTTTCCCTCCCTGTAAGACACACAGCACTGAGAATGAGTTAGGTTAGACCTGGGAGAACCCCAAACCTCACTGTGGTCCTTGACTTCACAAAGGCTGACCGCACACAGAAGCGAGAGCTGCCACCAAACAGGGAGAGGTCAGAATCAAGAAGCGCACCCGCCCCCCAACTCTCCCACCCCTGGCCACCCACCCTTGCTTCTGGGGGGGCTATTTCGGGGGTCCAACAAAAGCTTGGTGGCTGTCCCTGCAAAGTCAGCTTCACAGCTGGAAACTCCCTCCCCTTGATGAGAAATAACAGCTAGTGTCTTGGCCAAATGATGATAAACTGGCTTCTTTAGTGAAGCTCAAAGGGGTGGCGGGCCTCTTCCCAAACTGTCTTTGGGAATGAGGCCCTGGAGGGGTCTGGCTGGCCAGGATGGGCAGGTAGATGAGGACCTGGGGCAAGAGCTCTGAGCAGCAGCCACTGCAGGGAGAGCAGGTAGGGGGCTGGGTGCGCACAGCTCCCGGCGACAGCCCGATTCACCCTCACTGAGCAGCAGCAGGGCCATGTTGCTCCCGCGGGCACACGGAGGAAGAGGGCCAGTGAGGCAGGCAGTGGCATTCACAGCGCCGGCGAGCTCAGGGGTGCCACTCGTTTTTACGGCCCCATGTGTGTGTGCTTTCCTTCCAAGAAGGCAGGACCCCACAGAGCTGCCTTTAAAGGTGATCAAGTACTGGAGAGGGGGTCCTTGTTTTCTCCCCGGGTTTCATCCCACCCTTAGATCATGTTCTTAAATCTCCGTTTTGTAAAAGTCTTCTCTGCTGCGGCAAGGGGTCTCCACACGGAGTGTCAGAGGGTAAGGAGGGACGGGACTGGTATTTCCTGTTTTACTGTGGGGCTGGGCTGGGTGAGTCCACACACAATGCCACCTTCAGGCCTCCCCACAGGGCTCCCAGGACTGGGGCAGACACCTTTACAGATGGGAAATAAAAGCTCATTTAAGGAGCAGGCTCGAGAGCACACAGCCAAGATTCAAGCTCGGCTCTGTCTGGTTCGGTGCGCTCCCCAACGCCACCATGAGGGGTCCTGTAACGCACAGGGAAAGTGGAGGATTAGGGAGAATTATTTCGCAGGCGTTAATTCTCTGAGACAGACAGACAGAGACCTGTCTGCACTCTCTGGGCTTTGCTTAGAACCAGCTGGGGCTTCATGTTCAAAGACATTCTCATGATGATTCTTGTCCTCTGGGTTCAGGGTTAGAGGGTAGGGCAGGCGTTCTTCCATCTCACAGACTGGAAAACAGACTCAGAGAAGCTGTATAACGTGACCAAGGTGGCAGACTTGGGGCTTGGGTTGAAGTCTGCAGGCCCACCGAGTCCCAGTGCCAGGAGGGAGACATGTTGAAGGCCCAGATGGGCTTGCAAGAGGGACCCTGGAAAGGCACTGATTGTCACCATTATTCTCCGCCCTCCGTCTGGGCTCCGGGGCTGCACTGCCCTGCCACCTCCCCAGACCATCCGCCTTGCCCCGCGCTGCTCGTCACCCTGCAGCGATGGGCATGCGGCAGGCAGAGCACTGAGGGCCACGGGAGGGGGGGCACCCCTATGGGCGGGCAGAGAGGCGGCCTGGCGTAGAAGGAGACCTCAATTCTCCGACTGAGGTTCCAGTCCCAGGTTCTGCCACTTAGTGGTGGTGTGGCCTCAGGTACGTGATTGAACCTCTCTGAGCCTCAGTTTCCTCACCTGTAAACCGGGAATCCTATCTATGCTTACAGGATAGTTAGGAGGACTAGTTTAGGTAGCGACTCCCTTTTAGCATTGGGCTGACCGAGACAAGCCCGCAGGCCCAAGGGATGGTGGGCAGGGCTGGGGGTGGACAGATGACCCCGAACGAGAAATCACAGGGAGTGCCGCCAGCCAGGGCCACGGCCCCCGGCCTTCACGTCTTCTCTGTGGGGCCGCTGACTCGCCATAATCTTGGACAAGTCCTTCCACCTCCCTGGCCACTCTTTTCCTCCACTGTATAGTGAGTTTAATTTTTAAATATCCACTTCATAGTACTTTTGAGAACTAAATGAGATTTTTATATACAATGCGCTTAACTAGCCTGGCACAGGGCACACAGTAGGTGCTGAATTTCTTTTGCATCTGAGAGCCTTGCACCTTCTCAGTTCAGGTGGCTCATCTTTGACATGCTGGGCTGTAATGATTCACCGGCCAAGGCTCCCCATGTGGGAAGAGGGGTGCAGGTGAGAGCTCCGGGGGCAGGGAGTTAGGGACCTCAACCCGAGCTCTGTCATGTCTCACCTGGAGAGTTCATGGAGCCACATCAGCCTCACAGGCTGGTCCCAGGATTAAACAAGCTACATACATGAAGTGCTTACTGGGAACAGTGCCTAGCACAGGGTAAGTCTTCCGTAATCATAAAGACTGCTACTGTTACCTGTTAGTCTTGACAACGGGAGTTGGGAGCACACAGGTGAGCTGCCAGCCATAGGCTGCTAGCGAGTTCAGCAGGGGCACGTAGTCCGTCTGCACTTCGACACCCTAAGGGAGAAAGGCCAATGTAAGGGATGCTGATGCCTCAGGCCGACACCCAAGTGACTGAGAGGAGACTGTTCAACTCACCAACTCAACAAAGCAGAAAGGGGAGGGGTGTCCCTCCGCCTGGAGGCCCTGCCTGTGTTCTGCTTAAGGAGTTCAGAGCCAAACTGCCAGCCTGGGACCTCTCCCGGCCCCACCTCCATCTGCATAACTGGCAAGGAATTAGAGCCAAAGGATTAATCCATTAATTTTGTTTATTCTTGTTTCACGGAAGCAGCACAGTTACCTCGCCTCAAAGACAGATTCAGGGCATATGACAACATACCGCTCTGGGTGATGTGGGAGCGTGTCGTGCGGAGTGAAGTTACAGTTGACAAATGATCAAGTCATCTGCATCCAGCCACAGCAGCTGTGTGTGTGTGCGTGCACGCACACACACACACACACGGAGCTTCACCCATGTTAAGCAGCCTGCCATAAAGCGGTAAATGAATGCTTGTCCGTGTTTTATTTGAAATCAGCATGGGAGGCAGGACACTTGCCCAATACCTGCCTTTGAATTTAAAGACTCCGTCCTGCTCCCACATCACGCCTGCTCCCGGAAACAGGCCTGATTTCTTATTCCGGGCCCCCAGCTAATGCTGGAAGTGCAGTCCACCTCACCCCCATCCTGTATCTACACTGGTCTCCCCATCCCTGGCAGGCTGGCTTCTGAACATCTCAAACATGTGGCCAGATTCCTTCCACCTGAGGCAGCCACGTGGTATTTGTTCAGCTAGTTTTGAAGCCATGGTGGGTGCAAAGCGAATGAAGGCGCTGTCGGGGTGCTGGTGTTCACAGTCCACCAGAGGCAATGGCACATACATGCAAGTAACCAAAATACAACATGGCCCGTAGGCAGGGCCATGAGGCTTCGGAGGTCGGCGGGAGAGAAAGGACGCAAGTCGTGCTCAAGGCAGGCTTCCCGGGCTCAGGGCTGGGCTCTAGGAATTCCAGGGGAGAATACCAGCGTGTACACATTAAAGGCCAGCTGGGCTTGGATCAGCGAGGAGGGTGGGCTTAACTGGGGAGTGGCACCTTGCACAGGGGCCGTCAGTGGCCAGTGGCTGTCCTGCTGGGGCCTTTTGGGAATAGAACCAGCCAGCCTGGCTGCCCTGGGCTAGAGTGGATGAGAAGTGAGTGAACAACCAGCCCTGCCTCTTCCAATAGGTTTTAAAGATATTTATTTATTTACTTACTTACTAAAAGGGAGAAGGGAAGGGAGGGAGAAAGAGGAAGAGAGACATTGATGTGAGAGAGAAACATCGACTGGTCTTGCACATGCCCCAGTGGGGGACCGGCCTGCAAGCCAGGCACATGCTATGACTGGGAATTGAACCAATGACATTTCACTTTGCAAGATGATGCTCAACCAACTGAGCCACACTGGTCAGGACTCAAATAGGTTTTAACGCTCCTCTTGCTGAGCTACCACCCCAGCATGGCTACCAAGTTGCCTGGACAGCCGCCAGTAAATTTATCCTTCAGGAGCCTGAGTTTCTTCAACTGTATCAAATAAGTCTTGGCCTCTATCAGTGGTTCTCAGAGTGTGCTCCCTGAACCAGAAGCCTCAGCAACAGCTGGGAACTTGCCAGTAATGCAGAGTCTTGGGACTCCACCCAGACCAACCAGATCAGACAGTCTGGGGCTGGCACCTGGGAATCTATCTGAGAGTCCTCCTAGGACTTCTGATGCAGCTAAGCCTGAGAGGCTCCGCCCAGATAACCAGTTAGGTCCCTGCTGACTGAACAGGGGCTGTGATGCTGCAGCCAGCATCCATCGGTTGTCACTCAAATCTTACCTTTTCGTCATTCTCCATGCGAGGAGAAAGAGAAGAGAGACTTCTGAAGAATCAGCTCCGTTAAAACAGAATGGAGGGGAGGAAGGGGAGAAGAGTGGGGAGAAAAGATGGGCGGAGAGGGGAAGAAAGAAGGGAAAAGGAAGTTAAAGGAGGGAGGAGCAGGAAGGGAAGGACGGAGGGAGGAAAGGCGGGAAGGACGGAGGGAGGAAAGGCAGGAAGGACGGAGGGAGGAAAGGTGGCAAGAACGGCACAGACGTAACCAATTTACTTAAGGACAATGGACAGGAGGAACCCCATTCTAGTTCTGCCCCTTGAAGCCCCACTCAGGCTAGTGATGGCCGCAAATGATCCAGCAACCCCCTCCTTCTGCCTGGCCCCCTGGACACATGGGGACCCCCTTCCAGACCTGCACAGGCCAGTTTCCCTCATGCTGGGCACCTGCTGTGGCTGCTTTGTCCTGGGAACCCCCACCCCCACCCCAGTATTTCTGACTTAGAGAGAGAGAGAGAGAGAGAGAGAGAGGAGGGGGGAAAAATGTTAAATCCACACTCTCAAGCTTTGCGAGGTTATGATTACTTGGGCCTAGCAAGAATAACCTTCCCACTTTATCAAGCACTGTGACAAACCCGCCACAATCAGACAGTAGCCATGGCAACCAGGACAAGCTTTGGCGCCTCACAAAGCTCTGAATGGCAGAATATAGTCCTTTTATTGGTGACTGTGCCTCGGCCAGGTTTTCTCCATGTGTACCCAGAGCGACAAGACAGTGGCAACCCACTGCTGCCGCCTGACCTGCATGATCAGACTGGTCTCGTACAGGGCTGCTTCTATTTTGCTCTATTTTATTGCATTTTGTCACTGTCTTAAAAGGAAAGACAGCAGGATTTCTCCCAAACAGTTTTTCCCCTCCAGGTAGGGGATATCAGCCAGAGGGTACAGAATTATAAAGACTGAAAGGAAAAGGAAAACACAAAAAAACACATTACTTGTAAGAGCTGAGCATTCAGTCTCAAGTGTGTTAATATCTGGCTGTCACATGGTGGGTTGAAAAGTAAAATACAAACAGCAGGGAGTGAGGTGTTACACTGCCAGACCCTCCCACTCCTCCCACTATTGGGGCTGGTCTTGATGTAATTAATGTTCAATGTGGTTTTCCATAGCGTCTATCAAAGCGGACTTGCATACTATCAACCCAGTAAGATGGCATTTCTAAAATAGGACATGAGCCCCATGCAGTCAGCGGAAGATGCTTTCAAGTCCATTAGCTGAGAAAGATGATAGGAAACCTATATGGAGGGAAGGTTCTCTTTGATCTGCTTTTCTGTGACACTCCAGTGAGGACAGAGGAGCGCAAACAGCACTCCAAAGCCAGGCTGCTTATCGAATGAAAAGACACTGCTTTCCAGGAGTGGAAGCAAAAATTTTAATTAACTCTCCACTCTCCTGTGTGGATACGCAATCTCCCATCACACCTGGAGTGTTAAAAAAAAAAAAGAAGCAGCATGTCCTGTGGTTCTTCAACTTGTACAAAAGGAATTCATTTGTGTTTATGGCTCTTTTTTCCCTTTGTTACCTATAAATTCTCTGGTGTTTGCAAGTGAACAACAATGACAACAAAACTAGGCATCCAATACAAGCTTCCCTTACCGTCCAAAAATTACAACAACAGAGCGTAGTTTATGAAGAAATGCATTTTTGTCTTTGGGTTATTTTTTTTAAGGATGCGCCATGCAGGGAAGTAATGAGTTAACCCGTTGGTCCAGTGAGAAAGTTTGTATCATGAATGTTGGTTTGCTCTCTCCTTTTCTGCTATGTCAACTTGTGGGAGCCACCAGGGAGAGAAGCAGCTTTTAAAAGAGAACACTCCACTGCTTTTATGTGACTAAATGAAGAGAGGAATTCCATTTCCCATATCTGAAGTGTGTGGTACCAGCTCTGGGAGGGTCTCTCTAACCTTGAAACAGTGACTGGGGACCTGCTCCTCAGGGCCACCAGGCTGGGCCCTGGCCTCTCCCAAGAGGGCACCCGAAGCAAGAGTGCCGCACAAAACACCTCTGCGTCATTGTAAATCGCTACTGAAACACTAATGCCCAACACTATGGGCAGGGTGCATTTACTGTTCCTTTACTTATCAATTTTAGATGTCTTCTGATTTCCTACTGTGGGAAATAGAGGCTTATCACTCCCATACACATTTCTTACTTCCTCTTTTTTAGTGCCCCAAATAGTTGTTAAGGTACTTTAAATCAAAAGTAGGTATTTGTGTTATTAGGACTTTGCAAATATTGTTCAACTTGAGCTGGTTAAATAATGCACTGTGACCATAACTTCCTTTTTATATAGCCTTTTCTTTTTCTTGGAGTTTATTATGACCTCAATTTTTTTTTTTTCATCTGCCTGGTTGTACAAGAAGCTATCACTAATTTATTCCACACTACAACACCTCTTTTCTATGCCCATCAATAACTCCCATGTGCCTAAATATATTGGTTCTATTTTTTTTTTTTCTGCACTGGATACATCATTTTTGGAGCTTTCTGTGGCCTTGCTCCAAGCTGCTCTGGATGCTTTCTATGCCTGGGCTCTCCCTCCACTGCTGTCTATGGCTGGTATTCTTTTCTTTCTTGGTTTCCTCTTCTTTTTGCTGAAGGACATCCTCTAGAGGCTCCTTAGGAAAGATGCCCTGGCAGTCTTTTGAAGTCCTGCATTCCTCAAACGGTCTCTGTCTTCACCCTTAACTAACAGTTTGGGTACAGAAGTCTGGGCTGAAAACTGTTTTTCCATTAAAATTTTGAAAGTGTGGTTTCCACTAGCTTCTAGATTGGCAGGATTGTTCTTGTAATACCTGATTTTTAATACTTTGAGTGTATTACTTTTAGGATATTTTTTCCCATGAAGTTCCAGAATTTCACAATGTTTCTTGATGTGGGCTTTTTTTTTTTTTTTTTTTTTAACTCAAAGGGCCATATACTTGATGGTTCTGCAATGTGAGGGTTCTTGTCTTTCAGTTCTGAAAAGTGTTCTTTTTTATTTTTTTCCATTGATATTATATATCTCTTCCATTTTCCGTTTTCTTTCTTTCTGGACCTCCTATTAGTCAAAATGTAGAATTGATATTTTAATTTTATTACCTTCGCCTGTATTTTCTTACTCTATCTTTTTA